TTCCCCCCCATTTTGTCTCTCATAGTTGAGGTATACCTATGATGAAAATTACAGGCCTCTCTCATCTTTTTAAGTGGGAGAACTTGCACAATTGGTGGCTGACTAAATACTTTTTTGCCCCACTGTATATTGGTTTTGAGTATTCACTTACTTTCTAAAGTCAAAGAGGATGAATCCCCTGCTGAATTATGAACCTGATCTGTCAAATCATCTTCAGTAGCTGTCTTGAGAGTTTCTTCTATTAGTATGATATCAGAATCCTGTGGGTTAAAGTACTTCTGCTTGGCATGGTTGTCATCTTGGCTCTTCTCATGACAGTAACCTATGAGATATGCACAGAAAAAGAGAGATTGCAGACATGATTCCCTCAGGGCAAAACACTTGCTACATCTCTTGAATTATTGATATACAGAAGTAAAAGGCCTAAAGGGAAGAATAACTATGTACAATGCTGTTGAGATTAATGGATGTCAAGCAGCAACACTGTTTGGATAGATTCCTTAGTGGTTTAACATCTTTATCATGCTAAGAGCACAATGACAGCTTCCCATGGTATTGACATGATACCAGAGTATCCAGGAAATCTTACAGAGAAACTGCAAATAGCTCTCCCTTCCTTCTCAGTATTCATGGCTGAACTTCATTACCAGTCAAATAGCATTTTAGGAGGGCTGCATATTCATCTCTGGTAAAAACTGAAAGTGTGGAGAACCTGCGATCTCATATAAATTAGATAATACATTATGAAGAGAGAAGAATGAGCAAAAGCTAAGATTTATGCAATAAATAAGACTTCCTCTTTAATATGCTGATATCTGTTCTTCTATTTAGTTACAGAACAAAATTAGCATCCAACGGTACTTTATAAAAAAGTTTAATTAAGGGATATGCTATAATCAGATTCAATCATTTTATCAACCAAGGAGAATTACAATATTTTAAAGTAATTTTATCTTAGGGTAGGGTTTTTTTTTAAAAGTGCCTAGATTGCTGGCCTGTTCATTTTGGAAGCAAATACTCTACTGTATTAGGAAAGGGTTAAAGGTACTAATCCTAATTTTACTTTAGGACTTACTCCTATTGATTTACAAAAGAAGGTGGCTGATTAGAAAGCTACCACCTTTACAGGAATAATTTTTTGTCCTGATTATGAAGATTTTGAATACTAAAAGTGCAGTGTTTCTTGTTACTTAAGTGTGCTGTATGCATACGTATGTACATGTGTGTATAAAAATGCAGACATTTTTATTATTTATTTATTCATTTAATTTATATACTGTAGCTGCCCATCTCACATACATGACTCCGGGGATTCATGCACTTAAAAACAGAAAACAATAAATAGTTACAAATTGTTTGTATCGAAAAAGAAAACCCGTCAAAAACCAATTAAAACAGTTAAAACTTAATTTGCAGGTGAGTACAATCCATACAATGACTAACATTACAGCCAACTAACACGTTCCATACCACCACTGGATCCCCAAGCACAATGATAAAGCCATGTCTTGAGACCCTTCTGAAAGGCCAGCAGGGTCGGGGCCAGTATAACCTGGGGCATGATGATGTTCCAAAGGGTGTATGCTGTGGCAGAAAAGGCTCTCCTTCTGGGTCCCATCAGATGACATTCCTTGGTAGATGAGACCCATAATAACATCTCTCCTGCCAGCTCTGATGGGATGGCTAGATGTAACCAGGGGGAGGTGGTTCCTCAGATAATCCGGCCCCTGCCATATATACAGTGAGTTTGTGAACTTGTTTGAATTTTCAATATTTCTGCATAAATATGGCCTAAAATGTGATCTGTTCTCTACACAAGTCCTAAAACTAGATAGAGAACCCAATTAAACAAATGAGTCAAAACATTATAATTGTTAATTTATTTTTTTGAGGAAAATGATCCAAAACTACCTATTTGTATGTGGCAAAAGTATGTGGACCTCTAGGATGATCAATTCATTTGAAGGGGAAATTAGAGCCAGGTGTTTCAATCACTAGGATGATAATCAGGGTTGAGTGTGGGAAGTCCTGCCTTATTTAAAGAACAGAATTCTGGGTATTCACTATCAAAGTCTGATCTTCACAACACAGGTATGTGGAAGTGTGTTATGGCTTGAACAGAGGAGATTTCTGAGGACCTCCAAAAAATAGTTGTATATGCTCACCAGGCTGGAAAAGTTTATAAAACTAAGTCCAAAAAGTTTAGACTCCATCAATTCACTGTCAGGCAGCTCGAGTACAAACGAAGGCAATTCTACACCATTATCACCCTCCCCAGGAGTGGTTGACCAACCTAGATCACACCAAGAGCAAGCTATGTAAAACTCCAGGAGGTCTCAAAGAATCCCAGGGTAATGTCTAAGGAACTAAAGACTTCTCTTGCCTTGACAAATGTTAGTGTTCATGAGACCACCATCAGGAGAACACTGAACACAATGGTGTGCATGGCAGGGTTACAAGGAGAAAGCCACTACTCTCCAAAAAGAACATTGCTGCCTGTCTACAGTTTGTGAAAAACCATGTGGATAAGCCAGAAGGCTACTGGAAGAATGTTCAGTGAACAATTAAGACCAAAATAAAACTTTTGGGCTTGAATGAAAAGTGTTATGTTTGGTGAAAGGCAAATACTGCATTTCAGCCTAAGAACTTTATCCCATCTATGAAACATGGTGCTGGCAGTATCATGGTTTGGGCCTGCTTTGCTGCCTCTGGACCAAGATGGCTTGCCATCAATGATGGAACTAAGAATTCTGAATTGTGCCAGTAAATGCCACAGGAAAATTTCAGGGTATCTGTCCATGAGCTGAAGCTCAAGAGAAAGTGGGTCATGCAGCAAGACAACGATCCAAGACAGAAGTTGCACGACCAAAGAATAGTTAAAGCAGAAGGAAGCTAATGTTTTGGAATGGCCAAGTCAAAGTCCTGACTTTAATCCTATAGAAACATTGTGAAAGGACCTGAAGTGGGCAGTTCATGTGAGGAAGCCCATCAACATCCCTGAGTTGAAGCTGTTCTGTAAGGAGGAATGGGCTAAAATTCCTCCCAGCCAATGTGCAGGACTGATCAACAGTTATCAGAAACATTTAGTTAGTTACAGTTACTGCTGGCCAAGCAAAGGTTCACATATTATTGCCACATACAAATATGCAGCTTTAGACTGTTTTCCTCAATAAATAAATGAACAAATAGAATGTTTTTGACTCATTTGTTTAATTGGTTCTCTTTATATAGTTTTAGGACTTGTGTGGAGAACAGATCACATTTTAGGTCATATTTATACAGAAATATTAAAAATTCAAAAAGGTTCACAAACTTTTAAGCACCGCTGTACATATGGATATGCACAATTTACATCAAGAGGCATTGTATGTGGAGGCACATATGTACATGTTTATGGAAAACAACACTAGTAGGAAGTAGCCCATGTACTGGCAGCTTTCTATGATAGCGATGATGAACAACCCATAGCAACATGTGGCTGCCACTGCCCCCTTGTTTTTTTTTTTTTGGTAACTACCAGAGATTCTAGATATTGCAGAGCAATTTGGCTATAAACTATCTCCATTATTTGTAGCTCTATAAACCATGCTGCCTAATTTTGGACGGAAACCATGAAATAGAGGTATGATTTTCTGCCATTTCTTGGCAGACAAGCAATTAAAAAGAGAGACATACGTCTTCTTTTATATACCATAGCAAATTAAAAACAAATACCCCGTTCCCCCAAATTCCAGCTCTGCATGCTAAAGTGACACACAGACAGACCTTGCTTAACTACTGCCTTGTGCAGCAACCATTCAAAGTTACAATAGTGCTGAAAAAATAACTTTGTGATCAAGGCACCCATTTATGACCTTTGCAGCATCTCTCTTAGTCACATGTTCACCATTACACTCAGTTTGTATGCGTTGTCCTGTGCATGACCCATCTCCCCCCCCCCCTTCCCCTCTTTGCAGAGTGGAGAGAGCAAGCAAATCTCTTCCTGAGCTGCTTTTCTCTGCAAGGCTTCCTCAAAAGTGCTAACCTCAAGTTAACAAGCTCAGGTCTGTGACCTTAATTATCTAGCTCCCAGCTGCTGCCTTTAACTGATAAGACTTTAATCACTTTCCTTCAGCTTTCCTTTTTCCTTACTTCCGCACCGTTTGGAATGTTCACCCGGTCACTGCTAGCACACTGCTGTCGATGTGTGTTCCCCACTGTGTGCCTGCTTACTCTCTTGTAATCCCTTCCTCTCCAATAAATATAAATACAAACATTAACTCTTTCTTGCTAATTATCCTAGCACCGGGGTGAGCATTCCAAAGGGCAGGGAGTGGGGAAAAGGAAAGCTGAAGTAAAATCCTAAGTACAGTTGCGGTCACGTGATTTTCCACTTAGTGACTGCATCACTTAGTGACTGAGTTGCTGGTCCCAAGTGTGGTCGCTAAACAAGGACTACCTGTAGTGTATCTTGGTTTTGCCCAGTGCAACATTTAGCTATCCCTTACCTAATAACAAGGCACAGTTCCTAGTCACTGAAAGATTGTCCTGTATTAGAAGAGCATAATCTAGTATTAGTCAATATATTTGATATAGTGGTTATGGTGTTACTTAAGGACTGGAAGCCCCAGGTTCAAGTCACTCAGCCATCAAACTTTAATTCAAGTCATTTGGCCATCAAAGTTCACTGAGTGACTTTGGGCCACTTATTCTCTCACTGCCCAATGTACTTCATAGGGTTGTTGTTTTGGGGAAAAACTGGAGTAGGGAGTGTTATGTACATTGTCTTGAGCTCCTAGAAAAGGCATGATTTAAATCGAACAAATGAATAAATTAGAGGGAACAAATTAGATGAGCTACATATATCAACTTTACTGCAAGTGTTTTTCACATAGAGCAAGGTAACGTTAAAATATAGTATATTTAACTGAATCTTAATTCTTGTGGGGCTTTTTTTTGTTAATAGGCACTTGGTAGTTTAGAGTAGAATCAGTGAATGACACCACTGAAAAGAATGCACTTGAGATGACACTGACTGACAAGCTGCATAAAACAATCACTTTGGAAACTGTAAAAAATCTCTGATAGTTCAATCTTCAACTAATAAACATGCTAGTTTAAACAGCCCACAGTTGACCAAGGCTTACTAGGACATCAAAAGTAGTCTAAAGGAAGCAAGTGTTTTATACAGTGTTTTATGCCACAAATCTTCCATCAGTGAGGTTATTCAAAGTCCTTTTTTATATGATGATTTTGTTATTTTAGAGATCTTAGACTTGGGCTTGCAACATTTGACAATGTAACAGATAAATCTCCTATCTCAATTTGTTTTACAGTCAAACT